CTGATCCCCTATGTGGCTGCTGGTTCTGCTGTGGCTGCTGTGGCTGCTGGTTCTGCTGTGGCTGCTGGTTCTCTGGAGGAAACCCCCCCCCCCTGCAGAGAGCCTCATGAGGAGGCGGAGGAAGCGGGAGCGGTGGCAGAGCAGCCTGTAAGAGAGGAGGAGATGCGTTTTTGGCTTGTTCATCCTCCCCTGAAGTTGTTTTCATGTGCGTTCTGTTGTTCAGCCTCTGCTCCGGCGAAGCTCGTGCAGGGCAGCTGAGCTGCATTGGAAGCGCCGGCTTTGCTGTGGGAGTCGAGTAGCTTCTTGAGAATGCCTGATGCCCTCTGAGCACATGCGCGTCTTCGGGAGCCAGCGGCAGAGCTAGCGAGGCAGCTGGAGGCTGCACGCTGCAGCTTCCTGGAAAGCGAACGGCCATAACGTGGGAAGCAGCAGAGGCTTTGCTGCTGTTGCTTCCGACGCACTCATTGCTCCTGTTGCTTCCGGCTACGATGTTTGGGATCGACGCAACAACCGAAGGTTCCTGAGAGAGAACGATGCCTTTGGGTGGCGCAGAGAGTCGGTAATCCGAAGGCGGAAGGGTGTGAGAGGTCACCTTTGAACCTCCGTTTTCTGGAGGCTGCGCAGGTGTGCGATCCTCACTGCTGCTGCGAGTGCTGCAGGCTGTGTCTCTCCCTTCGCGTTCGCCCGTGCCTTCTGTGCTGATTGAGCCTGTGGCTGACGCTGCGGTGAGCGCGATTTCTGCACCTGAAACCGCGTCTTCAGAATCTAGAATGCTGCTGAGGGCATATACCTCAGAAAGGGCTGGAAAAGCAGCAGCGTAGGACGCTGACTGCGCTCCAAGAAGCAGCTGTCGCATTTCTCTCTCCAGGTTTCCCTCTAACCAAGACAAACCGAAGCAGCTTGAACTCGTGGCTAGGGGAAGCGGAGCGCCAGATAGACGGCGTGCGTCAGTGCAAAGACGCCGGGGTGGAACGGATGCAACACTAGGAATAATCAAAAAGACAGCTTAGAGGGAATGGCTTTGGTGGGCAATGCACGTGTTCGTCTTGCAAAAAACCTGTTTTCAAGGACTAGACCAATGGTGATGCGCCAAAAAAATGAAACCGGGGTGTTTTCCTCACCCAGGACAACTAAAGAAGCTTCGATTAAGCAGAGGTACGTCAATATTATCGCCAAATAGTGGAAAATTCATATTTCACAAGAAACTGCACTGCTAGCAGCGTTAATGCTTTGGTCGGGGGCTTTGAGGTGAAGCGGTGTCAGTCAATTTGAAGGGACGCCCAAGGTAACCTGCCGGAGGGTTGGCAGGAAGACAATATATAGGAGGAATTAATGGATTTAGAGTCAAAAAGCATGCGTTTTGGTCACGATTTACTGATCTAAAGGCAGACGGGTCATGGCAACAACCCATCCTGAACAGGAGTTTGCGCGGATCGCGCGGTGTCTGGACACCTCAGCGCTGCTCGATTGGCCACCAGTACAAAATGCACACGTACGCTTTACCGATAGAACATTTTAGCATTTACAAGTCGTTTATGATATTCGAGCTTGTTATATGTAGGCGTAAGGGCGGTTTGGTGGAAATAAGCACATGCCTTTCAAGCACCCACATTCCCCCACACACTCCTCCACTGATTAGCTGAAATTCAAAATTGAAGCACCAAGTGTCCTTCTGCTCCATCAATTTAAACTTTTTAAATCTTTGACTTAAGTTTTAAGAATCAGAACAAGAATAAATAAGCTGAAATCCCAACTTTTTGTCCGCGCAGTTTGTGTGGTGGCGCCCTATGGTGCTCATAGGACGACGCAAGCTTTGCATGTCCGTCGATGCTATTCTTTTTGAAACAAATTCGCTGGCTTTTTCCGTTTTCTGCAGAAAGCTGAGGCGCGTCTACTTAACGGAACAAAAAGCACATGCGCTCTTTTCGCCCCTCCTTCAGTCGTTAACATTAGAGATGACAGTAAAGCAAGAAAAAGCCGGATTTTCGCACACTGCATATCCATTTTTCGTGTACTACCAGTCCTTTGTTTGATACCAGGCTTTATTATGCATGTTCCCAGTATGTACACCTAGCCAGGGCTTGAACACTCAAAGACGCCTCGTGTCCAGTAAAGACTAATTTACCTTAGGAGTCTTCCTCGAAACTGTGGGGCGGACGGAATACATGACATTGCTAAGGCCTTGAACAAACTACCATATCCTTTACTATTAAACCCAACTTACAGGCAGGCCGGCTCAACAACAGCCCCCAGAGTCTAATTTATTATCACCTTGGCTACGTGCTCGCCAGGTACTGTCTGCGAGAAAAAGGCCACAGATGCAAGCTCCAGCAAACGATCACTTCATCAATTTTAGAGCGTAGCTTTTCCGACGGCTTGAGCAAAGACCTCCAATTCGAGCCACCAAACCCTGCGGACTAAACTCTTGGGCTCACCTCGCAGGTATTGCAGCAGCCGTTTTCCCTTGGCACTTACATGTGCTGGCGCTATTCACTTTGTCTTGCTTCCTGCCGTGCCTACAGCAGCTCCCCGTCTGACGTTACTTCTTGACTTATGAGTCACCAAAGAATCCTTATCCGTGCGCTTCACTTGCGTCGCACAAGAGAGGTAGCTTATTATTTGTAAAAAGAAAATGTGCCGTGTGTGCCTGTGCGCCGTCTGCTATGCAAAAGAGCTGCGAATGCTCGGAGCGCCTAAAGGGTGCACAAGTGCACCGTGCAGTCCCTCCTCCATCGCAACAAAGCCCCAAGAGGTGATAAGCTCACGGGAGAGGGCTCTTTTGAAGAAATATTAATAAGCTTTGTTTGCAGTCTTGTATTGAGTTTGAGGTCACGAGGGCCTACCCATGGAAACCTTCGTTGGGCGTTACGAAAAGCCGGCAGCAAAGCATACATATGTATATGGCTAGAGAATAGATATATATATATATATATAGGTTTATATAGCCGTCGCTACGTTGTCTAGTGTATATATGGAAGCACTTCTACTTATTCCTCGCCTTTAGGATTATCGTATTATGTACGAAACTCCAGGTAGGCCGGCATACACATATGTGCGACTTCATGAGTGCATTTGCGCATGCACATGTACGCCTATAGAAAATCACTTGAAAGTATGCCGACATGCGCAGTACAGCAAGCCTCTAACATGGCTTGCCCGTGCTGGACTGCTCCTTTACACATGCTAACAGCGAGCTCCAAAGGGCCACTATTAGCTTCCGCACTCTACAGCTTTGTATGCACTTTCCCGTACTGCCCATCTGAGTGAAGCCATACGTATAGAGATATGAAGAGCAGTATGTTTTGCCGCTTGTCAGTGCTGGCAGGCGGCACGGCACGTAAGCGCAACTTCGCAGCAGGAGGCGGGGCCACACACTGAGCCTTGAAGGTAACCAACAATTTAGGAGTCGTGACACTGCACAGTAAACAAAGGAAAAAGAAGCGTTGTGTGTTGCCTCCAAACGCGCCTCAGGCAGAGACAGGAGCGGCAGTTCTACAGAGAAAGGGATAACGATACAGGTTGCAGTATAGAGGTCTGCCTACAGTTTTCTTGCGAAAAGTTGCACGCGGAGGCTTCGACGCAGAGCCGCTGCTGAGGTGTTTGCTGGCACAGAGGCCACGTCCGTATCGGTACCAGCATGCGCAATGGAAGCTGATGAGTAGCTTTGTATGCATTTGCATGTCTGCATTCGCCTACGTGTACATGGATATATGACCTGCACAGGATGAAGGTCCATCTACTGTCAAGCAAGGCTGCGGGCGAAGCCTGGATACACATCATTGTTTGCGCTTTTGTGCATTTCAGAACGACCTAGCGACTATTTGGACATACAGAAAGGTGTGCGTTTGAATCCACATACACTCCTACGTCTACACAACTCCACAATGGGTAAGCAAACGCATGCATCGGTACCATCTTATTGGAATTTCTCTGCGCGTTGCCCAAAAGTATGGAAAACCGCAACCCTTTAGTACAAGATCGACGAAAGAAGTCGAACTTCACTGCAGGTCTTACGGGGGGCGAAGCATCCGCGTAGCGTCTACGCCTCCCACCGTTGCAATAAACTACATGCATGTCTATGCACATACGTTCTATCCATAAATTCAAAGCATCAACTTCTCCTGCTTGTGTATATATATTTGTGTGCCGGTGGCTCCTGCTGCCTCGCGGATGCTCGAGGACGGATGAGTTCAGTTGAGGACTCGTTTTTAGCCATACAGCTACAAATATGAATCCGGGTGTTGTGACTCTACGGATGATACACGTATGGCTGAACGTGGGTATCTTGATTAACTTGCATCCGTTGCGCATATGAAATGCATATTTACAACGATAGACGTAGGGGCACAGGGCGTGTTGCGTCCGGAGACGCATATCTAGACATATATAAAGAACTCCGAAAATATGGCTATGCGCGTATCAACACTTCTACAGAGGAAGCCAGTTGCTCAAGTTCGTGTGTGTGTGTTTGCGTATGTGTTTGCGCATGTGTGTGTGAATGTGTGTGTGTGTGTGCATGCATGCATGCATGCGCGTGTCTGTATGCACCCGTGTAAGGGAATTTACACAACACAACCGGATCTGGGCACAGCATCTTAAGGCTGCAAAGCCTCTGGCTGCTCCTGCACCGTGTGTTTCGCGCTGCTGCCCGTGGCTATATGAGATTTCTGCTCGCCATGAGAGGCTGGTAGCCTCGATCCTGCAGCACGTTAAGGTGCCTCAAATCCGAACTGTCGAATGCCCACTGCATCGAAGCGACACGCAAAGGGCAAGCTGCACTAAAGGGGTCAGGTCTACCTGCGTGCGAAGGAGCCATATAAAGCGAGCACTAAGTTTTTCCCCAAGAAAGAAAGAGATAGGGGGGCAGAATCAGCGGCAATAAGACGTCTCATTTCGCCTCGAGGCTATATGTGGCCCCTCCCCATTCCAAATGACAAGCGACAGAACGAGTCCGCACAGGAGCACGCAACTGACTGGCTATATATATATATACATGAGATACATATATGTATACATAATATATCCATAATATATATGTATATAGAGAGGCAACAAATCTTTGAGCATCTTTACCTTGATTGTAGCGCCCTTTCTGATAAATACCGCCGGCCAGACCTCTCCGTGTATCCCTGAAGCGCATGCGAAAAACTGCACAAAAGGGCATGATGAGCCACTGCTCGAAAATCGTCGAAGTCGCCTCGACCGCTTTCTGCCGACGACACGCATTGAGAGCAGCGCAGTGCAGAGGAGCAAGTCAGGGCATACGAGAAAGGGGAAGCATCCAAAGACAAAAGTTGGACGCACCAGACCGCGAAGATGCAGGCAGCGGCATGCCGTTTAGCAGGAGGTTCACCTTCGCGGGGGAGTCTGACTGATCGACTGCGCAAGTCTGCAGAAGTAGCAGCACCACAACACCCTAAAGCAGCCGTCCGTTGAGGTGCCACTCCAGTCGCATGCAGAGGCTACTTGCGCTGTGCCAAGAGCAGGCAAACTCGGAGAGACGTAGCGCTCCATGATGACTACCACAGGCAGAGAAAGGAGAAGGCGCAGATGCCCGCCTCGACGTGCTGACACAGAGGATGCCTACAAAGGATGAATGCATGCACACTTCTAGAGCCGCTTCGGCTGCCTTTGGAGACGGTGTGCACGCAGCCTACTGCACGTCGCTCTGCCACTCTAAGAAAAAAAACCCTTTGTGCTCAGTTCTTCGCCCCCTTCCACCCCCGAGAACTCACGATTATATCGCCTTCTTCAACTGCAGGAACGTCTGGCGCTCCTAAGGGTGTCATCCAGCTGACGGCCAAAAGCGCAACCATGAAAACAGACAATACACACACGCACATGATACACAGACATGCACGCATAGACATACACACATAGACAGACATACACAGACACACATACATACATAGACAGACATACACAGGTACTCGCATAGACATACACACAGAGACAGACATACATACATCGATACACAGATACACGCACAGACATACACACATAGTACATATACACAGAGACACAGACACACATACATACATGTACATGCATATAGATACACACAGAGATACACATACATACACATCCATACACACAGATATACATGTATATACATATTTACATACATACACATGCACACAGACACACATACATGCATGTACATACACATCCATACACACAGAAATACATACATACATGTACATACACATCCATACACACAGAAATACATACATACATGTACATACAGACACATGCACACAGAGATATATACAAGTATATGCATACATATATACACATACACACAGATACACACAGATACACACATACATACATACATGTACACACACGCAGATACACAAAGAAATACATACATACATGTACCTACACACAGATACACAGAGAGATACATTCATACACACAAGGACGCACTCCGTGCTCTTCCCTAAACATTCTATACGCGTTCAAGCGCTTCGAGCAGAGCATGCAGCTTGAAGAAGGGGAGAATACGGAGCGGGGAGGAGTCGTACGAGAGCACCGCACAGAAAAGGTCCAGTCGGCATCAGAGAAGAAGAGAGACTCTGGAGGCAGAGAGAGAGAGACGCGCGCATATAATAAAAGGCGAAGAAACAGCCATTCGAGGGAACGCAGTCAAGGAAAGAAGAGGAGGCACTCACCAAGAGAAGGACAAAGCCGCACAAACAGACAAGCAAGCGCGTTCGAGTTGAGGCTGCCATTTCTAGATTTGAAAGCCAACAGTTTGGTTTGTGCTTGCGCGAGGCAGAGAGGCTATGTGAAATACCTTTGCTTTCCAGATATGAAAGACTGAGCGTCTTGTAGCTCTTCCGCCCATGGCAGACGACACACGCCAACATGTATTTCTCCAGGTGTCAACACGCATACTTCTGCAGACACAGCATGCCGAACGAAATGCGAGGGGAAGGAGGCTTTCTTCAGGGAGCGCTGCCGTGCATCAAGCGAGGCGTATGCATCTCGCCAAAAGGGAGAGGCCTCCTTCTTCCCTCTCCTTTTCCCCTCCCCCCTTCTCTCCCTTTCTTCATCAAAAACAAGGCACACAAAAACGAAGAACGCTGAGGGAGAGGCGTAAAGCCGAAAAAGGTCAGCGATCGGTATGCCAGTGTCTCTCAAGACGTGACTCCGCAATCGAGCGGCAGCATGCACCCACCAAAGACACATCTATCCTGCTCGACAGCGGTGTCAGCGACTGCTAGACCTTCGCCTCCGAGCTGCAGTCCACTAACCACCATGCCTTCCGAGTGCATCCTGCAGTTGCACGCACTCAGCGACGCAGACGGAGAGCACCTTCGCGGCTGCAGCGGCGCGCTCTCCGTGCGACGCTAGGAGAGCAGAGCAGAGCAGCTCTGCTCGTCTCTGCTTGGCTCGAACAGCTTCAGCAAGCTTCTTGTGCCCATTCCTCCAGCATGCGGAAGCCACGGCTAAACGCCCTCCAAGAAGCAGCTCTCGCACGTACAAACAGGCTGCGCAAAGCGTGTGGGGGTGCAGGGATTCTTTCATTTTTCTGTGTCTTACTGCATTCCAACGCCTTTCGGCGCGGAGGCTCGACTACTCCGCAGCTCCCAAAGCACCCTTCCTCCGCCATCCTCCAAGTCTGCTGTACTGACGCCTTCGGAAGCTTCTGCTGCGGCTGCTGCTGCCCTTCTTCTGAGGCAGCAGCGTCTCAGGAAGGGAACCTTCCGCGCAAGCGAACCCGCCGCAGCAGCCGCCCCCAAAAGCACTGACAGCATGCAATTCAGCACGGCAGGGGGCTTAGAATCTGCGGCAGCTGCGGAAGGGAAGCCTCTACGGATCCCATCCATCGTGATGGCTGCCTGCCTGTCGCATGTGGCTGTGGATATAGTATGTGTATATATGTATGGGTAAGTGTATGTGTGTGCACTTATATGGGTAAGTGTATGTGGGTGTATTTATATGAGTAAGTGTATTTATATATATGTGGGTAAGTGTATATGTATATGTGTGGGTAAGTGTGTGTATTGCCAGAAGCCTTTGTGTTGATGCACTGCTGCGGCTGCAAATGCCTCCGTGGTCGTAGGTGGGGGAAGGGGGCTGCAGCAAACTCCACAGCTGTTGTCGCGACGTTTTTGCTGGGTTTCACCAGCAGCCACGCTTAGCAGCGGGGGATTTCAGAGAACAGTACGTGGCTTATGCACACGAATCAATGCTCAAAACGTGAGATTGACAAGCACGGAATCATGGGAAGTGGCAGTGCGTTTGCGCACAAGCGTGTTTTCGTATATATGTGTGTGTGTTTGTGTGCGTGCATGTGTATGTGTGTTTGGGTTCGACAGGTCGGTCGTGGAGTGGATGAGGGGCAGTCAGCCTGTCATGCAGCAGCACGCAGCGCCCGTTCCCCGCATCGGGCACTTCGATGGAAACGGTTTTTTCAGGCTACCAAAGGCGCTGATGAGCAGAAAGACGCAAATAACGGGAGGCGGGAGGCGAAGATGCAAGACACGATCGCCAAAAGATTTGCACGAACAGCCTGTCCGAGGCGGAGGTTTGCGCGCCAGCACATACACCGCTGGAAACTCCGCCGCCCTCTCGCAATACTTATAGGGCAAATCAAAGGAAATAATAAAAATTCGCAATGTTCGATGGGCTGGGGAGCGTTCGACACAGGCGAGCTGACCACTGGTTGGCTGTGCTTCGGGCCTCCCCTCTCCAGCCCGCATGGGATGTACAGCGCTTGCTCTTAGGAAAACATGCACACACGTGGTGCCTGCAGCATTTCCGCAGAAAAAGAATATGCTAGGAAGCCATCGGAGGCTTTTGGCTGAATGCCAGTCGCGTGCAGTGCTGGGGCAGTGTCTCGCTCAAAGGCTCCGTACAGCCAATGCATGTTCTGGAGATGCCCGTACAGTCTACCACGGGCTTCGGGGATTAAACAGCGCAAGGCAGGCATGCTCTGACCTTCTTTTATCTTCGAGAGGCACGGGATGCTCTTTCGCGGGGAGCTGTCTTTGCACAGGAGCTCGTCCAGGCACCCACCTGAGCGACAAAATCCGCCACAGCGAACTCCTCGGCTAAAAAGAGTTGAAACTGCCCTTTCCGCCTACCCTATGCAATCTGGTCTCGAGGAGGTGCCTGCGTGTACCATGTATGTGCGTTTCTAATGACCTGCATTCCCCGAAGCGGCCGCATATTTCGCTCGCCAGGTGCCTTTTGTATGGCGGGCTTACCCAAGGTTAGGTACTCTTTGTTATACCATTCATATTCAGCTAGGAATCGGTAACGATTTCACTTACTGGCTCGTCTGATCGCACACTTTTCGTGGTGCAGAATAAGCTTCTGCACGAGATGCCATTCTTCGGGCTTCTACGCTACGTGCTAGCTGCAACTAGCTGTAAGTTCTCAAAGCGCTTAGGGAGTGCAGCTATATGCACACCGTAGCAGTCCCTTTCCCCTCATATAGGCGACTCTAATGGGCACCGGCAGGGAAGGCAGGAGCCCGCTTGGAGGCACAGCACCATTCTGTCAAGTTTGCATTGACTCCAGTATTACGTGGGCTTCTAATGAAGCCTTAGATGAGGCCTCCCAGATGGTAGCACCACATGGCTCGATGCAGCTTATCACTACTCATCCTATGGCTCTAAACGCAGAGGGATCTCAGGCTCCGCTGCAACAACTGTGGAGCTGCCACCTCCACGTCAGCTTGCAAGGTGGCCTTTGCTGGCCCATTCGACGCTGTACTATCGTCAACTTCAATCACCAGACTTTTCCTGCCAGACTATTGCCAAAGAACATCAAATACTAGAGTACAGAATAGCTTGATCAAACATAATCCGTCGGCGATTCGAAGTCTAGATCCATTTTACAGGATTACAGCAACTAGAAAGTGTGACAGCCGTACGGATGGGCATCTACTAGAAAAGTTTTTACTAGCCGGTTGGAGGTGCACATCGCCCTGTGCTCCACTGATGAAGGGAAACAAGTGCTCCTTGCAGCTTGTCTCTCGAAGGGAGCAGCCCTTCAATGGTAAATTCTTTTCAGGTAGAGCAGGTCGTCTGCCCACAAAGAATATCACAGCCCAAGCCCCTTGTAGATGTCGTAGCTCATTGATTTATGCCAAGACCAGCTCAGCAGCTAGCTCAGGAAAATTGCGAAAGCGGAGGCAGGGAAGTGTGTCTGTAGATCGGTGTATCGAAAAGATGCAACTTTGGTATGCAAAAGTCACAACCTAAAAAAAGCCCTACGTTGTTAATGATTTTCCCAGATCTATCCGAAATTTCAATTCAGCTGGTCATGGGCTTGATAGCGATTTGGCGACTAGACAGCTGGGTGTCTTTCGCGAATGATGGCTTACTTGAGTTTTCTGGAGCACAAAAGCGCAGCTTGCGCGTTTTGGGCTCAACATAAACAGCCATGTAGGACTCAGAACGAATGCATGTCAGGGCTGTCAGCCGGTCCTAGCCTGGAGTCGAACAAGAGCGAGAAAAGGAAGCCAGAGGGAACCCATGCTGCCTATTTGCCTCAAACAGTCCCCCAACAAGATGAGCATTGGGTACAATCGTCCCCTTGCCCCGCAAGTTTGGGCATAACGCCGTGCATTGTTGAAAAAGGATGGAAGGTAGGGCCTGCTCGCTGACATTAAGCTCCTGAACAAGATTATTCTGATGGAGAAGCTCCCGACGCCTCATATCCGCGAATCGTCTGATAATTTACACGCACGAGAAGTCTGACATGCGCCTCCGCACAAGCTTCCCTACAATTTCCCATCTACCCTGATAGCAGGCACAAAACGGCGTATCATCTCACACACGCCAGTCTTAGGAAACTGGTGTAAAGCTTGAACTTGTTAATATCCCAGCTGAAATGCAGCATCAAGTATGACGACGATTTCATCGGCCGAGTGATTTCTCGTCCTTACGGTCGTCACGTCTTCTGGTCACTGTAAGATCGTTGGCGCATCTACAAATTTGTCATGTTGCCGACAAATCACGGCTTTTTTTATCGGCGATCGGGCTGCTGCGCTTGCGTCAGCTTGCAGGACGGCCATTACTTCCCCATTTGGCGTTGTGCCACCACCAGCTTGCATCTCGAGAGTGTTTTCATCAGCGTGCTTGTAAGGAACATCAAAATATCAAATTACCGAATCGATTATATAAAACCAGGCAAACCTTGTAGGGAAAGCTGACAACCCAGTGCATCCACAGCCAATGGATGTGTGGGTAACAGCTGTATCGAAACATGTGGTGCCACAAGCAGTAACCCTTGACCTCATGTCTCCGTAGAGAGACACTGAACTCCAAACTCAGCCAAATTTTAGCAGAAAGCTACAGCGTGTCTCTCAAGGATTGCCGCCTTCCCTTTTCAGCACCCTTCAGTTCCCACTATGAAGAGAGCGGAAGCAGCTACAGTACTCGTAGCTGCACCCTCCAGGCACGCTGAGCATTCAGTTAGTTACACCTATCATCTACCGCAAGCGCACACAATATTGCGTCGGATTGGATCGGGCGCTCAGTATTTTGCAAGAGAAAGATTCCCGAGTAAACTAGTTCACTTGGCGATTCCCTACTAATTTGTAGTCCGTTCCTTGCGCCCACCAGAGCAAGCCTTTCCCTTCTTGGTGGAACCCGAAGAGAGCAGGGAAGGAAAGAAGGGAGCTTCTTTGCAAAGCCCTCAATGATTTTCCTATTATTTATATTCTCTATTACGTGTGCAATGCATGCGGAGTTGGGTGCATGCTGACGGAGACCGGAGCCAAGCGTTACCCAGTTGGCGTACGCAGTCATGACAGCCATGCAAGTCGACGATAGCACTCCCCTCAGGATGCACTTGATGCATGCGCATCTGTTTTCCATCTGCCTGAAGCCATTAGAGAAACGCGGAAGCAGTATCCGCCTTTAAGTTTATCCTGCGCTCACGGCCTTAACCCGAGTGCCAGCCTTCCGTAACTCCCGCCAGTAAGGCGTCACGTGCAGCTGAAAGCATACATGAGCCGAACGAAACCACAATTATAGGCACCACTTTGCCTCGACCTACACAGGAAAACTCCAAGTTTCTTGCTGCAGGCCCCTAGCATGCGCAGTCGGGGCTTGAATTGGGCATGCGTGTGTAGCTGTGGATCCTCGAGTGTTCTGGCATCACAAAGGCGCGTCATTTTCACCTTTCGGGCATGAAAACCCGTTCGAGTCGCACAACAGCAAATAAACTACGAGAGGAAGGCGTAGTTGGACAGCAAGATGAAGTTTCACGCGGCTTTGCTTCGCCGCGCATTGAACCCCGGAGCCGTTTTGAGCTCCAGGGGTTCTCCCAAGTTTCAGCAGTATACCCTTGGCAGCTATCCGATTCCCCCTGAGCAGGAGCTGCTGTGGAAGAATCGCATGAAGGCCTATGGCGGCTACATTCAGCAGACCATTTCGCCGTTTCAGATGAAGATCCTTTGGCCATTCTGGCACACTTTTCCGGCAAGGCAAGACGCTGTGGCGCTTCCTATGGCAACATTCTTATCGATTACCTAGGTAGCTGTGACGCGTCTGGGGGAATGTGTGTGGCAGCATTCCTTGGGGGAGGTGAGAAGGGTGCATGATGAGGGCTCCAGAGAGCTTTACCCGGCGAGGTGCCAATACCAGGAGCGCAGCTTCCGCGAGCATGTGCATGTTTTTTCTGCGTCGTTTCAAGCACATACTTTCTGCAGAAGCCAGTTCACTCGTTTTTCTTTGGCAGGGTCGTTGTCGAAGGGATTCGGGGGGGAGGGGAGCGGGGTTGTTTCAAGTGTTCAACGGACTTGGGGGTGTCGGTCCATGTTGGAGTTGACGCGACGTCGACTAGGGCATTCTGCTTGGATTTTTCGCACCCTTCTACTTTCTGCACCGGGGCACACGATTTTGTGTCTCTGCAGAACGTGGGCAAAATTCAGCGCGTATTATTGGTGGTGGGTGTGGCCGGGCATGGTGACATACGGCATCATCAAGAAGATGTTTCATGATGCTGAGCATGAAGTCCGTGATAAATACTGGTAAGAACAGCCCCTTTGTACCCGAATAGTTGGTCCTCCACTGCAGTTTCGATATAGTTCTGCATGCGGCATTCGTGGGTGTCACGGCCAGAAACATGGCAGCAAGAGCCGCCATTGTTTTGCGCATGTATACATGTGTGTTTGCGTCCTCTCAGGTACTAAGAAACGTGGTCTTTTGAGAGCCAATGCCAACAACGCGCCATCTCATGTTCACCCTTCCCGCAGTCTGCACTATTCAACGCGTGGCTTTGTAGGGAGGTGAATAAACCGCTTTCTAGCTGCATCCCAGATTTGTGGGACTTGTTAAGAACCTGCTTCTTTTTATTCATGAATTCTTTCAGACTTTTCTGAGGTGAAAGCCTCCTCTTTGTTTCTTCCAGCAGCTTCATGGAGAGTAGGCGGTACAGTAAACGGGTAGCATGCCCTGGGGATGTCTAGGTTTTGTTCCTGGTGGCTGACTTGCAGGGCATCCATGTCTGCAAGGCCGATTGGGTGGCTTCTGTGTTTAGCGACCCACCACAATATTCCCACAGAATGTCACTTTCTACAAAGACTGGAAAGAGTACTGGAGAAATTGATTCAACCATTGCAACCGGTGAATAGCTCCCCAAACCATCGACTAGCCGTCTGGATGCGCAGTCCGTCATGACTTGCTATTTGATGCTCACGTAGCGCCCTCGCAGACGGTAATTTTGTTGAGGAATGCGCAGTAGGCTCGAAGGACAGGGCTGGTGTAGCACGTGTTCTTTATGACTAGATGCATTCGAACCCTCGGTTCGCCAACGGCAAGTGGGTCTGTCGCTGTGTAACTGGGATATTTAGGGAAGTGAATGATGTATTCCTCAATGCCCGCATTGGCACTGATCTACGCCTCAGCCTGGAATAGAGGCAGTGAAATTGCACCACACAGTGTGCGTTGCATCGGTCTCACTGCCACGCCCGTGAGGAGATATTTGTGTACTTCTTTGAACATGAAGTGTGCACGCCTTTGAATTTAAGGGCAAACACTGAAATGGCTGTAGACATCCACAAAGCGCTGCAGAAATCGGGTGGTCCACGCGCAGCCATCATCTTGCCACTGGAAAAGTTGAAGAGAACTGTTACTATTGGGCACCTGGCCATGAGCATAAACGTGTGCATCTTCACTGTACACTCCGCGTGACGGAGGAGCCTAGTAAGGAGTGCTGAAACGGGGCCGTTCTTGGCGCCCTTTGTTGCTCACCGCAAGAGACCACGGCTGCATTGAACTTTTCGACAGTGCTCAAGGTGTGCTGGCGAGAACGAAATCATTGTCGTCTCCCCATCCCTGCGAGAACGCCTCTACTTAGCCTGCTTTCGAACAGAGGGCTGAGATTCAGCTGAATATCTTTGCCTGGCGCTGGCAGATGCGCGCGCAGATCGTAGATGTCTTCTTCATGAGTTGCTGCGACTGCCACTAAGCGCACATGTTACCGCGCCGGTAGCAACAGGTAGACAACGTTTCTAAGTGTGTTCAGGTGAGGGAGTAAACGCCGCATACAAGAATCGAACGGCAGTGTTGTGCATGAGCCAGTACGCCATGAGCGGCGAGCACGGGGAATCCAACTCTGTGAGTAACGGGTGCCTATCGGAAGGCTTTGGTTGTGCATCTTGACGGATTTCAGTAGCTATTCTCGCTGGACTTTGCAAACATCCTCTTTGAAGGGCCGCCTCTGCCGAGGAGGCGCCTCCTGGGAAATTACCAACAACCTTGGGAGCCTGTGCGCAAGGTCCCACCACAACTTCTGCCATTCTATCCGTTTGCTCTGATATTTAAATTGGCTTCAATGTTTTATGCATAGATAACCGAAGATTATTTTGTCTGTCGGTGCTCCTTGGCTGCCCTCCGGCACCCAACGTCAGAGAGGGCGTCCCTGGAGGCGAGGATGTTACGGCAGCGTCTTCTGCCTCTCCTCCACATGACTAGCCTTGATCAGCGTGTTTTAATTGTATGTTGGGCTCTTTCGCGCTCCTTCTGAGCAGCTCGTGTACACATCCTGAGCAGCTTGTTTGTTTCCTTCCCCGCCTTCGTGCGGGCCTTGCCAATTGCCCCTCGTGCATGCGCTCCCTGCGCTAATTCTCGTTCTCTTTTTTGGGGCTTTCCTTTCCCTGGCTTCGCTTCTTGGGCGCTCCTTTCTGCGGCTGCCACCGCAGGCGTCCGTGTGAATCATGGCAGTCCCCAAGGGGAAGCGCAGCGCATCTCTGTGCCGCAAGCGGCAGCACATCGTTTTCTACGATCAGCTGGATGGAAATTACAAGCGAAGACGCGAGTGGTTCTACAGAAGGAGATACTGTCTCCCTCTAACTCCTCTTGCACACCTCACCGATATCGATCGAAGCAAAGAGGCCCAGAAGGGCACTGGTCCTTCCGTGCTCCTCCCATTCAGATTCCCCGGATTTTGGCTAGGAAGGTAATTAAGCCGCTAATCTCTGAACGCCGAAGCTTCTCTAGATCTGTTTGCTCACGTGCGCCAGCGTTTCGCTGAAGGTGTGACAACCCACAACCAGCCGTTCTTGCTGCCAGTGGCTCTTGTACTGCAGGTTCGTCTTTGAGAAAGCTGTAAAGCTCATTAAAAAATAAGTTCGACAGAAGGGAGGCGTGGCACCAGTCAGTCACGCCCGAGCAGCCCATCGGCTGGAGCACCGCTAGCGGTAGATGCCTCACACCATCTACAGCAGTATTAGCGGAACTGAACGCTGCTTCCGTTACTGCACCCTTTCCTCCAGTGACATGCATGCATGCGCAAGCGCCGCTGCAGTCACCAAAGCGATAAGCACACCGACAGCCGCGCACTCACAGGCTGTTGACGCGTGCTGCTTTTTTTATAGAATCGTTTTTCAAGACAAAATAGTGCCAGAGAGGCAGCGCCGAGCACGATAAAGTTTCAAAAGTGCTCATGCACGTGTGCGCACAGTGAAGTATCGTAGCAGCAGCGAAAGGCCCTTTTTCACGACAACGAGTTCAGTAACAGGCATAGCACACGAGGTCGCGCATGCTTCCCTCTCGTCCACGGTGGGCAGGCGAGGCATATATCTGTTTCGACTACTTTCTGTTACTCTGCCCCCTCGCATTCCGTTTCTTTTCGTTGCCGATCGGTATTCGTTCGTAGGGGGCGTATCATCCCCCGCCAAGTACACCCCCTGCCCGCATTTCCCTGTTGCCGTCTACGCTTTATGCATGCATTAATGCAGCGGACTATTTTTGTTAGCCGTGTGCAGCGTGCTCCCCTCCCTCACCCTTCATCCCTTCACCGCGTGTGTGCCGCCCTTCGCTTTCTCCCCAGCAGGAAGCTCCCTAGTAGCTATCCGTATTACCCATAGGTTTGTTTGTATGCATGCTCGCATGCGTGTGCACCAACTCCTGCCCACGCCACTGCCCCTCCCCCTTTACCTTCTGCTCATCAGGCGCCGCTGCGTGCTCCCTAGGCAGCCCTCTAGGAGGGTTCGGCTGCCTCTAACTGCCCCTTCCGCGTCGGCTTTTCGCCCGATTTTCTCGTCTAACTCGACACAGAGACAGACACACAGCCTCTCCGAACAGTGCTGCCCCCCGTCGTCAGGTGACTCTCCCTCCAAGAGTCGCTCTAAGAGCGACACGCTGCTTTTCTGTGGCAGCGAAGAAGAGCAGGAGCTCGACTGGCAGCCTGGGAGGCAGGCTGTTATTGCTGCTGCTGCTGCTGCTGCTGCTGCATTTGCAGCAACAGCAGGTTTCACTCTTTTGCTGTCTGCTGAACGCATTGGAGGCTTGCTGCAGCAGAGCAGTATTGGCTGCTCCCAAACCCCCCAGTTGCAGGGGAACCGCAAGCGCCCCTCCTTCTCCGCTGGGAGCTGCAGCCGCGACTGCCTGCAGCAGCACGGCAGAGCGCCGCAGCAGCAATTTGGCCTTAAGCGAGGTGGAGATACACTCGACGTGCTGGCGTATGGCCGTGACAACGGCAGTGGCGTCTGCAGCACCAGCAGCAGCTGATAACAACTGCGTTGCTGGGGGAAGGCAGAGCGAACCTAAAAGGAACAGAAGGGGGGGGGGTCCCCCCGTAGAGCAGCAGGATGCCTTGCTCTTGCTGCTGCTGCTGCTGGTGCTGCTGGTGCTGCTGCTGCTGCTGCTGCGCTGACTCTTGCAGCAGCAGCAGGCGTGGCTATGGGCGACTACATGCGGATAACACGTTTGCACCGCGAGCAGCTGCACAGCTCTTGCCAGGAAGAGCGGCGGCAACTGACACAAGGGGGTGGAGTACAAGGCAAGCATGAGCAGCACATAGCTGTACTCCTTGCAGCGGGTGTAGTCTTGAGACGTCTGCTGCTGCTGCTGCTGCGAGCTGTCTGCGCGGGATGTCAGCGCTTCCAACGCCACTGAACAAAGGACTGGCATGCGAAACTCAGCGTGCTGCTGCGGCTGCAATATGCGCTTCGCTATGGCCGTAGCAGACTCCTCCGCAATGCTCCACAGCTTCGTGAGAATCGAGAACGCCGAGGGATGTCGCAGCAAGTCAAACTGCAACAGCTCAAGCAGCTTTTGCTCCTCTTCAAGAATCCCCTCAGGCTTAATTATCACTTCAAGCGGTAGCAGAGCACCTTGTGCTTCTGTCGCCGTGCCTGCCTTCAGAGCAGCTCCCCAGAGTGCTCCTGATGCTGCTGCTGCTGGTAGGTGTGGCGGTGCAAGAAGCGTTGTAGTGGTGTTACTATTACTGCTGCTATTGCTGCTGCTATTGCTGTTGCTGCTGCTGTTACTGCTGCTATTGCTGCTGCTATTGCTGATGCTGTTGCTGTTACTGCTACTGCTGCTATTGCTGCTGCTATTGCTGCTGCTGTTACTGCTGCTGTTACTGCCGCCATTGCTGATGCTATTACTGCTGCTATTGCTGATGCTATTGCTGCTGCTATTGCTGCTGCTATTGCTGCCGCTATTGCTGATGCTGTTACTGCCGCTATTAACAGTGCTGCCGCTATCTTGTAGTGCAATATTCTGCTGATCCGGCACGAGTTGCTGATTCGGCTCAAAAGGAGCTGCTGAAGAGGGTCTCTCGAAGGCAGCGAAGGCAGCAGCCGTCCAGTCTTGATGCCACAGGTGTGCAGGAGGCTGCTGCAACTGTCGATGCTCATCTGCCTCCTGTGCTGCTTGCTGAATGTGCAGCTGGTGCTGCGTTTGCAGTTCAGAATTCTGCGGCTGGAGGCTGTCATTAGTGCTCCTCTTGCGGGCAGTGGCTGCCGCAAACTGCCGCGCGAAAGCCTCTCCTGCTACTGCTGCTGCTCCACTCTCGGCATATGCTGCAGTGTTGTTTGTCTTGTAATACTCTTGACTTCTTTCCAAGAATACATCCGACATTTTCGCTGCAGCCAAGGTGCAGCAGCACAGCCTCTGCAACACCGATTTCGGAGGCGCTGCCGCTGCTGCTAGGTGTAACTGCAGCAACTCCTCTATCTGCTGCTGCTGCTCTGCTGCTGTTGCTGCCAAGTCGTGTTGCTGCTGCAAGCCATCGCGATAGCTGGAAAAAGAGGCACTCCAAAGCGCAGATGTTTGGTGCTGCTGGTGCTGCTCCTGCAACTCAAGCCGTGGCGTAAAACTGCTGCTGCTGCTGCTGCTGCTCGCTGGATAGCGAGGCGGAAGGCATGCTTCTTTTGCAGCTCCCGCAAGTATGCGAGCTGTTTCGGTGACTGCCGTGGTGACGAGAGACAGCTGCTGCTCCTCAGCGGCCTTTTTGTTTACTGCTGCTGCAGGTGTTTCCAAGATGCCACTCCTGCTGCTATTGCAGGCAGTGATGCAGCGCTCGCCGTCACCTCGGAAGCCTCGCCTTGACTGCGTAAAACAGGATTGCTTCGTTTGCGTTTCTGCTAAGGGTACAGCGGCAGCCCGCTTAGATTGCAGAGAAACGGATCCTGGCAACTTGCGCTGCATTTGGTGCTGCTGCAGTTGCAGTTGGTGCTGCTGCAGTTGCAGTTGCTGCTGGCGCTGCTGCAGTTGCTGCTGCAGTTGCTGCAGTTGCTGTTGCAGCTCTGCTGCTCTGCTCCTGTGGTGAAGCAGATGCAGCGCTGTTTCCTCTACCAATTGCTGCTGCAGTACAAGATGCACATAGCTTGCAGCGAGATGGAGGGTTTGGTGCTGCAGTTGAAATTCTTGCTGCAGCCCAATGAGGGCGTCCATCTGCAGCGACAGAAAACGCGTCAAACGCAAGGACGGGAATGTAGCAGCAGCAGCAGCAGTAGTAGTAGTAGTAGTAGTAGTGGTAGTAGTGGTAGTGGTAGTAGTAGTAGTAGGAGTAGTAGTAGGAGCAGTAGTAGGAGTAGTAGGAGTAGTAGTAGTAGTAGGAGTAGCAGCAGCAGCAGTCTCGCGATACATTTAGTGGGCATATGCAATACATGCAGAACGTGGCGACCACTGAGGGAGCAACTCACGGCGATGTGCATAAACGGCGCAAGTATAGCCTTGGAATCTTCCCACAAGGCATCGCACTGAGCTTTTTGAAGGTGTTGCTGCCGTTGCTGCCACTGCTGCTTTTTACTGGGCAGGGGTGTGGTAGCCACTTCGTCGTCTAGCTGCTGCTGTATATGCATCTGCTGCTGCTGTATATGCATCTGCTGCTGCTGTATCTGTATGTGCTGCTGCTGCTGCTGTATCTGCATCTGCATATGCTGCTTCTGCATCTGCTGCTGCTGTTGCAGCTTGAGCAGCAAGCGCCGCTTTGCTGCTGCTTCCTTTTGGATCTGGTCGTTGCTGCGGTAGCAGCACTGGCAGACGAGGCTTTTAATGGCACTCCAACATGGAATAGCCTCCCTAAGGCTAATGAGGCATTTGTTGCGCGTGGCAGCAGCACGCGAGAGGCTGCAACAACTGACACTCGGGGTGCTGCTGCAGCTGCTGCTGCTGCTGCTCTCGAGGAGCTCTGCAGGGAGCTCGTCTCGGTGTTTTCTGTTGCTCAGGCAGTTGCTTCTTCTCCTAAAAATAACCAGACAGACAGATGATGATGCAGAAGCGGCATTTCTATAGGTTTCAGCCTGCCTGCATTTCTGTGGCATGCAAAGCATGGAGTGCTTCTGTTTCTTATCCCCATTTCCTTTCTTTCTCCCCCCTCCTCCTCTTCCGAAAAACAAGAGCTGTCTCCCCTCTAATCTGCATCTGCGCAGGCTGCACAAACGGCTCACCACTCCCGAGACTCGCACTCCTCTCTGCTCCTAACGCTGCTCCCGCAACCGTTGCTGCTGCAGCAGCAGCAGTAGCTACACCAGTCCCCTCGCTTCGTGCTGCTAGCGCTGCTGCTCTTGCTCTTGCTGTTGCTGATGATTTGTGGGGTCGGAGTGCCGCTGTCACTTCTTCGACAGCTGCTGCTGCCACCTCCACTGAACGTCGTGCAAGGCACCCCAGGCTGCAGAGACACCTCACGGCTACTTGCTTCGACACTGCTGCTCGCCATTGCGCTGTCTGCTGCTGTTGCAGCTGCTCTGGCTGCTGCTCTGGCAGCGACTGTCTCTACACGGCTTCGGAAACGTTCTGTCTCGATGCAGTGCTGCAGCAACTGCAGTGCTTGCTCTGAACACATCGCATCAGCAACATGATCATTATCACCATCATCAACAGAAGCAGCAACGGCAGCAGCAAGAGTGCTAAGAGCGCAACAATTAGTGCTTTCTACGAACACATTGCAACAGCAACATGATCATTATCACCATCATCAACAGAAGCAGCAACGGCAGCAGCAAGAGTGCTAAGAGCGCAACAATTAGTGCTTTCTACGAACACATTGCAACAGCAATATGGTCATTATCACCATCATCAACAGAAGCAGCAACGGCAGCAGCAAGAGTGCTAAGAGCGCAACAATTAGTGCTTTCTACGAACACATTGCAACAGCAATATGGTCATTATCACCATCATCAACAGAAGCAGCAACAGCAGCAGCAACAGTGCTAGGAGCGCAACAATTAGTGCTTTCTACGAATGCATCGCAACAGCAACATGGCCATTATCACCATCATCAACAGAAGCAGCAACAGAAGCAGCAACAGCAGCAGCAACAGTGCTAGGAGCGCAACAATTAGTGCTTTCTACGAACGCATCGCAACAGCAACATGGTCATTATCACCATCATCAACAGAAGCAGCAACAGCAGTAGCAAGAGTGCTAAGAGCGCAACACAGAGCGATCTTCAGATTTCCAGCAGCTGCAGCACAAATCAAAACTGTACAAGGCAGCAGCAGCAGCAGCACTTCACACAGCCACCAGACCTGCTGAGAGGCGCTGCGTTCTGTCCATGGTGAGGGTGTGTTGCAGCAAGCGCAGTGGTTCACACCCTACGATTCTCCCGAACTGCAGCAGAATTCTTTCCGCTTCTGTTGCTTCGCTGTCTTGCAATCCTTCTTCCGGGGTGTGTGTGTTTATTGGTGGTGGTAGTGGTGAGAGAGGCGTGGGGATCGGTGGATGGGATGCTGCTCCCTCTGCTCCGACTGCGGGAGGGGTTCTTCCTGCTGCTGCTGTTGTTGCAGTTGCTGCTGCATGTGCTGCTGCATGCGGTGCAGATCCTGCTTTTTCATCGGAAAAATACTGTGCGCAGACGGATGGTGAGTCTCGCGAATACTGCTGCTGAAGATGCCGTAGCAGTGCCTTGTCAGCTTTGCTGCCGCAGGTGTCTATACACCGTATCCACTGCTGCAGCAGCGCGTCTTCCTCAAGTTTCAGCTGCTGCTGCATGCGCTGCCACCGAGGGATCGGCCACAGCGGAAGCATTTCAAGCCAGAGCATTGGGGAGACGGCTGTGGCTGCCTTTTCTTCCGTTGCTTCGCGCTGCTCATCGCCAAGCAGGAAGGTGAACTCCCCCTCCCCAGCTCTGCCTGCCTGCTGCTGCTGCTCCTGCCCCTGCGAAGGAGGCGTGAGGATGCGAAGCCACTGCTCTCGTGTTGCAGGCGTCCCAATCAATCGGCAACACTCTATGAGGTAGAGCAGCTCGCTGCTGCAGCAAAACGGTGGGGTTGTTGTTATGAGCTCGAAAAAAATAACCGCCACAGACCACATATCCACTTCGTAGCCGTACTGCTGCTGCAGCTGCTGCTGCCTCAGCAACAGCAACTCCGGTGCCTTGTAAGGCATTCGCTGACTCTCGCGGAGCGAGCGTTCACGATCTCGAGGATCTGTAAAAAGCAATCAGAAATTTGCGACAGCCTTCACAGGTTGGTGGGGTGATATGCAGGGAGACGTAGTGTGCGCTGCGCCTCCTTAGAAGATTCCCCCCCTCCCCTCTCAGTAGCAACTCTCCCTTAGCACTGGCAGCAGCAGCAGCAGCACGATTAGCAATTGCATTAGCAGCATGCTTAGCATTAGAATTCGCAGAAACATGATTAGCATTAGAATTCGCAGAAACATGATTAGCATTAGAATTCGCAGAAACATGATTAGCATTAGAATTCGCAGAAACATGATTAGCATTAGAATTCGCAGAAACATGATTAGCATTAGAATTCGCAGAAACATGATTAGCATTAGCATTAGCAGCATGATTAGCATTCGCATTAGCGGCATGATTAGCATCAGCAGCAGAATGAAGAAGAAGAAGTATGTACTTTTAAGCAGCAGCATGATTAGCATCAGCAGCAGAATGAAGAAGAAGAAGTATGTACTTTTAAGCAGCAGCATGATTAGCATTAGCAGCAGAATGAAGAAGAAGAAGTATGTACTTTCTAGCAGCAGCATGATTAGCGTCAGCAGCAGAATGAAGAAGAAGGATGTACTTTCAGGTGTCAGTCGAACGTTTTTGTAGTCAAGAAGGCGGCCCATCGCCAGATCGCTCAGCTTCACGCAGGGTGCTCCCACAGTGGAGTCAAAGAAGTCAAAAGCCGACAAACAGTTTTCTGCTGCTTCTGCGTTCACCCTGCAGCGGCAGCAGCCGCAGTCTGCTGCTGCTGTTGCCGCGGCAACTGCAGCAGCAGCGGCAGCCGCAACAGCAGGACGGGAGGGTGATTCTTGGTGAGCGTACAGGGGAGTGAAGTATCGAGAGAAAGCTAAAAGAGCTGCGTGAAACACAAGCAAACACATGTTGGAAGCGCTGCTTGCTTTCATCGAGCAACGCAGCTATGACACTCGCGAAGACGTGCACAAAAGATCAGCGTTTGTGGCAGCGTCTAGGAAAGAAAGGCGAGGCAACCGCGTGGCAGCAGTATTTAGCGCCCACCTTTGCTGATGCTCGCGAAGGCAACTCGGGGATGCGCATCGCCAGGCAGAGACAGAAGGATGTTGTCTGGCTTTATGTTTCGATGTAAGACTCCTCGTTTGTGCAAGAACCGCAAAGACGTCAGCAATCCCTCAAGCAGCCGTAGTGCACCCCAACGCAAAAATCGACCGCCACCTAAGGAGAGACAGCCGGCCTCTTGCAATTCCTAAAACAAACCTCAGCATACATACATACATATATGTACATACATACGTATATGTACATATACATAAACATACACACATATACACAGACACACATATACACAGACACACATGTACATGTACATACATATACATGTACATGCATATACATGTACATACATATACATACATACATATACATACATATATATATAAACATAAACATACACACACATACATACATATACATACATATACATATTCATATACATATACATACATGTACATGTACATACATATACATATACATACATGTACATGTACATACATATACATATGCATATACATAAACATACACACATATACATACGTATACATGTACATACATATACATGTACATACATATACATATACATAAACATACATACGTATGCACACGTTTTGTTTGATCGAGAAGGCTTTTTGTGTGTAGCAGGTTCTTGGTCGTGTGCCTGCGATTGGGAGCTTTAAAATGTAGGAGAAAGCGGGGGGGGGTGAACAGTTAGAGGAGGGGTGGGTGGAATGGTAGGGTGATGGGGGAGACAGGGGAATGTGGCGTCTTTATGCTGCATCTTTGCTGTATTGGCGCATAGGGTTTGACGTGGCTTACCCTCCAGTAGGATCTGAGATTTCTTCTGTGAAACTGTGTGCAGACATGGAGCATCGACCCTTTGAGCTCAGCTCCCACATAGCGCACAATTGGCAGTTCTTCCCGCCGTTCGTCTGTCTTGCTGGTGCTGCTGGTGCTGGTGCATGCGGTCGTCGCTGCGAAGGCGTGATCTCTCTGCAGCTGCTGCAAGAGGGCAAGTTCACGCAGCAGGGATGCAGGAACCCCGTCATCGACTTCTGCATTGCAGACTTTCAAGTTTACCGATCGAATAGCCACGGGAGCGAGTAGCTCGGGAGTGGTGGTGGTGGTGGTGGTGGCGTTGCTGCTGCTGCTGTTGCTGCGGTGGATTTGAGGATCGAGCTGCTGCGACACAGCAGCCGCAATAGCCGCCTGCTCTCGCACTCTTTGCTGTCGAAGTATTACGGCAGGAACGAATCCTGCATAGACTCTGCCTTTGCTTCGCCTTTCTGAGAGCTCCTGGCTTTTCAAAGTCACAACAGACAGCAGTCCTTCCCTCTCTAGGATGCCACCCCATGCACTGCTGCTTAGCACCGCCATTCGCAAACAGCGACACACACATGCCAGAGTCTGAAGGCTGTCTTGCCCCCCCAGTATTGGCAAAATCACGTCGACAGTCTGACTTATGGCGTAGGAGGCAGCACACACTGTAGGATCGGCTGTTGCTGGTGTGGCTCCTGCTGAGGACGGCAGATTTACTGAATTCGAGGTCAGCTGCATAGAGAGAGCCTCATCCTCGCTGCAGCTACTATCCGTGCGGCTGCTGCTGCGGCTGCTGCTGCTGTCATTGTTATTACTAGTAAGACGGCTGTGGCGGTTGGATTCGTCCCCGAAATTCTCAAAGAGGAGGAACGCACTGTTGCTGCGGGAACTGCTTCGACTGACAGCGGGAGTCTTCGTTGCTGCGCAGCAGACGCAGACTTCCTGCAGCGGGCGTGTGACTGCTGATGCAGCATCTCTTGCCATGCTCTTGCTGCTGGTGCTACTGACGCTGCTGGTGCTCCTTTGGGGGCGAGCAAGGCGTTGGTTTCCGCGTGCACGCGCGACCGCCGCAGCTTCACACTCAGGTGTTTTTCCGGGTTGTTCAGAAGGCTGGAGAGACGACTGCTGCTGCCCTTCAGTCGGTGTGGCACCAACCCCTGCTGCTGTCAACGCAGGGGGAATACACCTGCGCCTTCGTTTGGATTTCCAGAGAGTCTCTTGAGTGAACGCGGGTGCAGAGGCTTCTGCAGGCCTGCTCTGCGGTGCTGTCAAAGCGTCGCTGTCTTGGTCGTGCAGAACTGCTGTTGCTGCTTCTGCTGTTGCAGTTTCCTGTGGGGCAGTGCTCCAGCGGGGTCTATGAATGCCGCCTGGCGAGTTGTAGCTGTTTGGACGCTCGCGCTTGGTGGGTTTCGGCATTTCAGAGAGTGGAAAGGAGGGGGCAAGACATGAGCTGGAGCTGGATGCAAGCGTACTGCAGCCGACGCCTCTGGGGTAGGCCTCCAGCGGTTGCAGAGCTGGACCATGGAAGGGCTGCTTTCTCCGCCGTCCACGACGCAGGCGCTCCAAACTGGAAAGGGTTGTGAAACAATCGAAAGAAGAGGGAAAACGGTCACGGGTAAGCTTTACATGCGCTGAGGGAGTGGTCCACCCCTGCACGGTTTGTGTCAAATAAACGTTCCTGAAGACAAACTAGCTCACTGACGGACCCAAAATCTCGTCGCCGCGAACAAAATGGATTATATTCATCGGGTGCTTGAAAAATTGCATCATGGAACAAGCACCATCATGAACTGACCGAAGAAACACCCATGCCACCACCTGAAGTCCGCCGAGCGGTCAGGCAGAACCAGACCGCTACAGGTTGCTGCGGTTCTGGTTGCGGATTCTTGAGAGCGAAAATTCATGACATTAATGCATTTTAAGGCTTTAGAACGCGAATCGGTCCAGAAACATGAAGCACGAGCTCATCAGAGTCGCGCATGCCATGCACAAAACCTAGCACCGCCCATGAAGCTGAAGAAAACTCCCTATACATGGGCAAGAATGCACATAAAAAGCAGCTATTCAGATGTTTTCGGCTAGACTTATACACCGCATGGCCACCAATTTGTATTAAACGGCTCGGAGGAAGGCGTGAACGACACCTAATCGCCTCCACTCACGACTCCTGTAAAGTGACCCACAAAGACACCTCCCGAATGAAAACGCGTGATTAGCAAGCACGCATCCAGGAGAAGCGCTTAGCATGAACATTTACTGTTTTGCCTGAACATATGGCAAGTTTCGGTTACAATTTTTCTTCCGTGCCTACTGCTTTGCTTCTATGCCTCGCGCACTGGAGCACAAGCGGTGGGTACGTCTTACCCTCACAGTGAAGCCTAGCGTGTGCAACACACTAGGGAAGCTACTCTATATCCGTTAAGCCATTTATTCCTCCAGACACCTGTCTACAAAACAAGAGTACACTGCTCTCGAGCGCTGAGCTGTGCTCCTATGCCGCCGGCTCCTGGTGATTCGTGCCTCTGTGAAATGCAGAAATAGCCGTAGCAGCATACGGCACTGGCTCTGGTGCACAGTTTGGAGACATAAAGCGCTTTGCGATAATAACAAGCTGCATCATTTAAACTATGCCTGACCCTCTAGCCGCATTAGCGTAGCCGTGAATGCATGGTGAGAATTTCTCGTCAGAAAACCGGGTTGTAGCAGTGCACTCCATGAAACCACAGAGAACCCTTTGGCCCTTGGTGGATTCACGCGGCCACAGCAGTGAACGGGGGAAACCATCCACTAGACCGACCATGAATATGCACCCAAGGAAGGTTGAAGCAGTACCTTACACCCAGTTGGCGGCTCCAGGCCAAGATGTGTGCTGGCGCAACTGTCATTGCACGCATAATCAAATACCTCATGAAGATACGTCGATCTTCACACCGTATTTCACGTTTTCTGGGCTCTGCCCCTTTGAAACATCCAGTTGGGTCCCGACTGTGGCATGCAGGTAGCCGCAGAGTTTGTGGGTGACGGCTACAGCCAAGAGGCCGTTCTGCGATATCTTGGATTTTACAAGGGTGTCTTTCTCATCGTTCATGTACCACATGCCACCGAAGGTAATATTGCTCTTGTTATCTGGAATGCTGTATTCAATCTCGGCAGCCACCTCTGCGCCGCGACCATCCAGAGACTTGCCGTTGACGCTGCCCAGGATCTTCCCGAACATCATATTGCATGTTGGGGCGCTGCATCCACAGAGGCATATGCCAGGCGCAAAATTGGAGATACGATTCCACTAAAGCAAGCACTAGGGCGTATTGAGACGGAGTGTCTTGATCCGCGTGTGCAAATGCCGCCTCTCGCTGTAGGCCGAGAACGGCTGATGCTTGGGAACGCGGGTAAATGCAGTCTCGTAGAAAAAGCCAGATGGAAAACTTACGTTCGAACAGCCGCCATCCAGCAACCACCCTTTCCTCCCGTCGTGGGGGCAGTGTAAGATGCGCCTACTGCGTATTTCATGCCCGAGGCGTCGAGCTTGCCCGAAACCTCGCCTAAGAAAACAAACGGCAACGAAAGCGAAATCATGTCGAAACCAACCGGGGAAGGAAACACTCAACGGCTAAAGCTTCGGCACTGCCCTTCCCACTTTGCAAGACTTACCACCGAACCTGAAGCGCTCATAGGTGAAGGTTCCGGAAGAGGTGAACGTCCTCAGGATAGGGCTAACCTGAAGAGTTCAGAGCAGAAGCACACCAAATACTGTCACTGGGTGGTTTTGCACATGAAGACCAGTAGATCTCCATGCGATGCAGCAGACACGCGTTTCATGAAAAAGAAAAAAGCCACAGCCCTCCTTTACGGCGAAACCACCATGCGGCCATGCAAACGCAGAAACCATTATTTCAACAAATCCCCAGACTTTTACACGAAGTGAACCTGGAGCCGCTTCAAAGGGCGCAGCAATCCCGCACTCCCAGCGAGCAAGACTCACGTTCAGGATGCTGTGGAAACGGGGAGCGACGTATTCCGTGGAAAAGTCAAAAGCGTCTGCAGTCGTCTTCTCCCCCTTCCTCTCATACTTGGTGGAGAGAATCAAGCTTGGGAATTGGGGGATCTGTTTCAAAAAACGCAATCGTACCTCCTCCACCATTAACCCTACTGGCAAGCGAGGAGATCCCGGCAAACAGTATTGGAGCTCAAATCAACGCCAGGAAAAACCTTTTCATATTCGCTCCTCCGCAAGCTACACGACATATACACCCCAAACTAGGCATTTAACCCAAAGTACCTTGTAGGACAAATCCACGTAGGACCTGCCGGCAGATAGAACCTTGACCTCTGCAGTCGCATCTCCCGCGGTGTACGTCAAGGTGGAAGACGCATCAAATCCACCGAGATTGTTCACCCCAGCTGTATTTACGATTTGCTGAGCAACGGCACGGCAGGCAGGCGGGCACACACTTGCAATCGCGCGAAAAAACGGCTTGTGCGCGGGCACTGACGGAAAACAAATCCAGAGAAACTCGGAAATGAAGCGCACTGGGCTACAGCAGGCCGTCCATCGCAATCGACGCAGCCATTTCCTCTAGCACAGAAGCTAAAGTAATGCACTTTACGCATTTGCACGCACTCCCCACAATCCAACGGCGGTGGGCTGCGCCTTACTGGATTCTTCGACTTGTACTTGTACTCAAGGTCCCATGGCTTCTCATGAGGAAATCCTTTCTTGAGGAGGTCTGCGGAGTAGAAAATGCAATCCAAAGCCCGCATTGATACGCATTTTCCCGCGAGACAGGAACGGAACTAGGGCTTGTTTTGTGCCATCGAGAGGGCTTTCGCGAGCCAGCCGAAATGCAAAGCAGAAGCGCAAGAGTACAGCAGCTTTATTATGCTAAAACGCATGAGTGGTCCTCGAATTTGCTGCAGCTACAGAACACCTGCATGTGCAGCATGCAACCGTGATGTGCTCCCGCCAATTAACGCATCCCAGCTTCACCTGCCCCCCAACAGCGGTCCCCGGAGGTGCACACTGAGGATATGTCTAAATGTACACGTGCCGCAAGAAGCAGCTGCGGATATCGGCAATATTCAAATATTCTCAGGCACTCCAATAGGCGCACCGGATGCGGGCTTCCCTATGTCCTTGAACAGCACCATTCTCGGGTGTTGCTACGAAAGACAACGTTCGAGGTTATAGGCAATTGACAGAAATATTCTATTTTCAGTGCGCTCCTAACCCAAATGGAAGCGCAGGTACACAAGAGATCTACCGCGTGCAGCGGAATCACTCCCGTGCGAAGCCTCTCTCTCTTGACGCTGAGGGCTGAGCAGCAGCCGCTTGAAGTTCAGAAGGGCTTCTGGCTTCGTTTGTTGGAAATGCCTGTTCTCTGAATGAAATATAAAGGCAGTTTATCATTTCTCTATGTGCAATATGCTCATCCATTTTCCCCCGAGGATCCATCAGCACCCGCGCAAGACGCCCCTCTGCTGCCCCTACTGTCTTCTCCCGAGTGGCAGACTTTAGCCTCCAGCGCCTTGCCTCTGTGCTTGGGTGTCTCACTTTGTGAATGTGTCAGCTGCGAAGGGGGCACAAAAGGGTGTCGTGCTGAGGAGGCGGAGTGTAGTGTACTGGATGCAACACAGAAAATGTACACGTGCAGTACACGCATGTACCGCTAAATTAGGGGGGCTTATTTCGCAGACGTTTGAAAACGAGCAAGCAGACACACAAAATATGTGTTCACGCGCGGGAAAAAGGCAAACTCACTTCGCCAGGGCTATGAATGCTGCAAGGATTCTCTTATAGACTCCCTTCGAAAGTTGCCCGCTTTGTGCACCCATCAAAACACTGGACGGATGTATCTAAACTTCCTCTTTAGGAGCTACCTTCTTGATGCTTGCAGTACTCGGAAAGGTTCCGGCTCGAGATGTAACGTTCCATCTGGGATCTCCTAGGAAGATACTTGGCTCTAAAATACAGCCTTGGAAGAAGCTATTGAGTGCTTTGCGAAAGGGCTCCCTCATTCCCCTGCCAACACCCCTGAGGGCTTTGATTTAAGTGAAAACGACTGCTCCAGTGCACGTTGCTGCATCGTCTGTGCTGTCCAACCACTCCTAGCTTGTTGCATGTAGCATCTACTGCACACGCGCACAAGATCGCGTGTTCTCGGCTCGTGCTCTCAGCACAATGCAATAAACATGGCATACACCTAAATGAAGCCATCACTCAATTGTTAATTAATTTCTTCGTTCAGCACAGCTAGTGAAATAGAAAGTTTGTACATGTACCTTGGCCCCGCATATCTTCCGCCTATTTCGAAAAACATGCCTTCGTGTTCCCTACCTGTACGTTGACGCTACCTGGGTTCAGGACAGCGTGAAGTGCCTCTGTATAATGGGCACTCCCCAGGCAGGTAGAAATCCGAAAGAGTAAAGAACAAGAACGGCAAACTGCATATCAGTCCGTAGACTGAAATTGTAACGTGTTAAGACATGCACACTAACCAACGCAGGAGGCAACCAACCAACACGACCCTGGCGGTGCTATGATTCCCTGACGTCGGAGCGTTGAAATCTAAGCCCCTATTGCATAGAAGAAGCAGAAGACAAGTAAAGTATGCACAGTCACTCAAAATCCACACTAGGTCAGCGAAGATTTCTCATATCACCGAGCAGTCTTTGAATACCATTGCAGCCGGTGCGTGCAGCATGGTCGATTTCCGATCCCAAGCATGGCAAGGGGAAGAATGGCGGGAGAGCATACCTAAGGGTGCCCACGCGTAAGTGTGAGTTCAGAGAACACAAGAGCAATACTTCACAGAAACTTTTCAAGCAATACCACAGAGCACCGAGTCTAATTCAGGCAGAACAGATGCACGGGGGATGGGCGATTGCCAAGCAATGAGGAGAATATCCGCGTGTGGTGACCTGCTTTGTTTGTGAAAGCGGAGCCGGAAAATTCTCCCCCAGGCAAAAGAGCCCGCGACTGCCCCTCTATCGATGCCTGAGGCTGGTGTTTCCTGCAGCATTTCACCAAAATTTTCCGTCTAGTATATCCTCAGTGCTCAAAAGCCCTAAAAACTCGCACCTCTACGTTTGCCAGTGGAGCTTCCGCCTACATGAAAATCACTGGCCTGGGCAAGGTTGTAGAACAATTGAAGCGCTGCTGAACTTTTTCAGGGAGCCAATATTGATACGTTCGGTGGCAACTCGAATCTTTGAAGGAAACTGACAGTGCAAGAAAGAGAAATGATGCCTATAAGGATCGCGCATGGTCATCCAAGCCGCCTGGTCGCAACCCTCTTGGTGTGCTCTCTTTCTGGCGCATCCACATGCACCAAATATCCATGATCGGAACACACAGTCGACAGTCGCTTATCATAGTTCAGTGCTTGCCACTTCAATTCTGCGCACACATCCGCGTGCACCAGCCACTTGTTCTCTCATATCCCTCCAGTGCAAAGGGTAGCTGCTAAACCCTGACTACCAGGCGCAGGCCCGGATTGGAGAGGGTCTCCTCCGTGCGGACGAGGAATGCCGCAAGGCAACGGGTAAACCAGGGTACTGTTGTTTATGTACCCACTCAGTACAAGGTACAAACTCAAACCAAGCATTGGATTTGTCTGATTGAGCAATCTAAAGTGCTGCAGAAGACTGCAGTTGGTGCATAATGTCTGTCCATCTGCCTCAGGATATTTCGTTGAGATCACACAGCGATCAGTCCGTGGGCGGGCCATAAAGGCCCTCCAGAACACACCAACGAACTCCAAATTCTTATCTGTAATGATACTCCGGAGGAATTTGTGCAGTTTCTAGCCATGACTTGAGGAGATTTAAGCAATTTTCTAAACCGTAACAGAGCACAAGAAAAGACCTAAACGGGCATATTTGTTGATTCTGTGGACGACTGCGCAGATATTGTCCTGACCCTTGACTTCCGGCAGTCCAAAAGGGTAGTTCATCTTCAGACCAGTCCAAATCTTATCGTGGACAGAAAGGTCTTGCAAAGGCTCGCCCTTAGAATTTTTGTAGCTCCTGGCAAATTGGCGTGACAGCACATGCATCTCTGCTGCAGGACGCGTCTCAGGCCAGCATCTGGACGTTGAGCACCTTATCACCGTACTATGGGACGTGCTGTGACCTGAGAAACCTTCCGCGTGCGATTTGCGCAGAATGGCATTGCGGTGCAAAGTCGGAATAAACAGGTCACGGAGAATACGCTTTGCTTTGAATCACAGCAGGTATTAGTCAACATGGCGCTGCTTCACCCTTTTGCAATTGCTAAGTTTCCCGATAACAGAGAATGCACAGGTGTTGAAGGCACATGCAAACTTGAAATTGATCGACACCGTTACTCATCACAGACAAGAGAAATTGCGCTGCACGATAGTGAATCGCTGGGGCTTCACGAAAGCGCGTGGGGAACCGCCCTAATGATGCTCCTAATATACTTCACTGTTACGTCGTACTGCATTAGATGCCCCAGTCACGGAAGGCCCGTTTGGCGATAGAAGTTATTAGAGTTGTTCGAAAGGTACTTCGAAACTGACAATTGATCTTGACAATAAATACTTCCACAGAAGTAATGCCGGCATCTTTTTTCACGCCCTACTACACTGCGTGTAGCTTATCGTTCGTGGCGTGGGAACCGCTGCTCGGTTTTGGTGAGGCGATGAGAACAACAAACAAGAATTTGGTGTCCTGTGGAATCGACAACCTTTTGAGAGAGTAGTACGCCCCGCCGTCGCTATCATTGGCTGTATGGAAGCACTGACGTTCATAATCGGGAAGCACAAGTACCGAAGGTGTGGTCAGGTGGAGAATGAGTGTCGTCAGTGCGACATCGGCCTCCTCTCTGCAGGTCACAGATTGTGTTTGCTCAAATACATTAGTTAAAAGAAAATAACTTAAGCAAATCCATTATGAAATTTCGATAACAAGATTCAAGTTAATAGAACTCTGTAACATCCTTGCATCTGGGTAACATTAAAGGCTACGCCTTGCCTGCTTCAATTCGTGCCGTATCTGGCTCAGTTCCTATACTGAAGACGGAATCATAGAAATCAACTGTTCTAAGAAACTACGAGCACTTGGGTGTCTCCACATACTACTGCTTCCTCCGCAGCATCTGAAGCGCATGCAGTGGGTGCTGTTGGGATACCCAAACATTTTGACTAATATTACGACGCCGTACATGTAAACGGCCATCCAGCCCTCATTGACAGGATCATAGATATCTCAAGTGACATGCAATTGCAGTTAGATTTGGATATTAAATGGTTTAAACCGTATTCATGGACTTGCGAATGCAAGTGTGGAACGCTGCTCATGCCTTGGATGGAAATTTGCAAAACGTGTCTTTGAAGTTAGCTGTCGAGCGACTGTTTATCGATGTATTCGGCCAAGCAGTTCGCCAGTCTGGGGCATCTGAAACTTTTACTTCACACACTTTACCTAGCTCACCTTCCTGTTTATGGTGTAGCGGCTTCCGATACCGCTAGACATAGCTTGAGGCTGACCCGAGAAGTATTTTAATACGGCGCGCTGGGCGACTTCCAGGTCGCCAGCCTGCTGGCAGCTTCGTATTCAACGCATCAGCGAATCACCCTTCAATACTTGCCTATTCATCCTGAACCTAGGCAAAGAGCTCAATCGAGTCCTCAAATAGAGACCAATTGCAGAACCAGTAGGACTGGATGCATGCTTAGAATTACTTCTCCACTGAGCTGCTCGCATGAAGGCTCTGCCTCAGCTTGTGGATGTGAGGACTCGACAGTGCTCACCACAGCCAAAATGTCCGTTAGTGAGCAGACCAGAAGGTGGATCTTCCAAGCGATTCTTGGCACTCTAATCCCCCCAGCGCGCAGTTGTGGCCGCATGCGCACATTCCGTTGGGCCATACATGGCATATCTAGGATTACGCAAAGGTGCGTGGGAACAACATAAAAGTCATAAATCATACTCATAAAGGCAGCTTCGAATTAAAATGATAGGCTGCTGCTCGGAGCTTTGCCATTCCTTGTGTTCAGCAGCCTGTCAGCAAATATAAGTCTTAAAGATTGTGCTAACTAGTCATCAGACAGATTGCACATCTACGCCCTCTCGTCGGATAGCGGACTCGCTGGCCACCATGTGGCAACTAACGAGATCGATTTCCC